GTGTTGGGACTTTTTAGAAGCTACGGTTTTGATAAATAGCGCGAAAAAATAATTTTGCGATTCTTTCTCATTTTTTTTTGGTCCACTGGCTTGACACGAATTTTTTCAACAATGTATTTAGGTTTATTTTTCTAAGCCTCCCTTTTTTTTAAGCCTCCCTTAATTTTTTTTAACTAGTTTACTTCCAGACGGAGTTCTAAAAAGATCCCCGCTGAGCAATAAAACTTCCGTCTTCCTCCTCACTGCAACTCAATTCAAGAGCAATCAATTTTGATATCCTCTTTTATGAGTTATCTGGCTTTGATCACTCAGTAATTTTAAACGTTGATAAACTCAATAAAGCAGTAGGGAGCGCTTATTGAGCAATTATTTTATTTATGCTCTAAATTTTAATGATTGTTTCTCATGGATTTTTCTAGATTCGCTCTTTTTATACCCGAGCGCACTTGTGCACAAGGGTATTATAACTTTGTTCACATAACGGTTGTTTGTAACAGGCAAAACGAATCGAGATAGATATAGACAAATGTATACATAAATGATCAGAATGAAAAGAGAAATCGATTAAGCGGTGACTGTCTGTCCGTCCGTCCGTCCGTCCGTCTGTGCACACGATAACTCGAGTAAAAATTAAGATATCTTTACAAAACTTGGTACGTGTACTTCTTTCGGGCGTAGGACGGATGGTATTGAAAATCGGACAATAACCACGCCTACCTCCCATATAGCGGTAATTTTCAGAAATACGAAAACTGCGATATTTTAGTAACTACTGAAGATTATTCACTCAAAATTGATATTTGTAATAATTTTGAGACGAAAAATAAGAAAATTATAAATTTTTTAAAAATGGGCGTAGCCACGCCCACTTATGGTTACATGTGTATATCTTGGCAACCACTGTACCAATTTCTTCCCAACTTGGCACAATTGTTGGCTTTGGTACAGCATACCAAATGGCAGAAAATTTTAAAAATCGGACAATAACCACGCCCACATTCCATATAAGGGTAATTTAGAGAAATACGAAATCTTCGATAAATCAGTAAATATTAAAGCTAATTTATTCAAAATTGACGCTTGCAACCATCATTTACCAAGAAATACGTTTATGATAAAATTTTGGAAAATGGGCGTGGCACCGCCCACTTATGATCACATATATGTATCTCGGTAACCGTTCTAGCAATTTGTACCAAACTCGGTATGGTTATTGTGCTTGCCACATAAAAGCAAAGCGTTGAAAATTGTTGAAATCGGCGTAAAATTACGGCCGCTTTTCATATAACAATAAACTTCAGAAATGCTTGAAATTTCAATATTTCGAAATTTAAGGACGCTAACTTACTCAAAATTGATACACCCCGGCTTACCATGTAGCGGTAGCTTGCGGAAAGGTGAAAAACATATATTTAATACTTGCGCCGGGTATTTAATGTTCGGCTCCGCCCGAACTTAGACTTTCTTACTTGTTTCTATTGTCAGTTTCTGAATTAAAACTTTGGCGTAAAAAGCTTTCAGCTTTCAGCTTATGTTGTTTCAAGTTTTGTGTTTTAAAAATGTGAGTCATAAATATTTTTCACATCCCTCTAAAAATCGAAGCGATGAAAATAAAAGTGATGTTTACAATAGAGGAGTACCTATTCATGAGTGAGCCAAACATCTGAGAAATTTATGTATATGGAAGAGAATGTAAGTAACGCCAGCACACTGAGTATTTGAAATGCTCTAAATGGGATGAGGGAGGGTGTGGTTATTGTCCGATTTTTTAAATGTTCAATCGTTTGTTATGTTGTACCAAATTCAACAACTTTGAGTTTGGTGGAAATTGGTAGAGCGGTTACCGAAATATACACATGTAATCATAAGTGGGCGGTGCTACGCCCATTTTACAAAAATGTATAACAGCACAAAGTTATAATAAATAATCTTGGGCACAAATGCGGTCGGATATAAAAAAAGCAAATTAACTTATTGAGTAAATAGGCTCATTCTACGACCGTTATCAGCCGATTGACTGCCCCTACCACCCAGCATTGAAAAAATAAATAAAGCCCTCGGACTTTAATTCCATTTTAAATGCTTCCACATACAATTACTAAATATGTATATTCAAATGCCTAATTGAAACTAAATTGATGATTAAGTTCAACTAAAGACTGCCGCATCTGCGCGCCACCACGCTCGCACCTTTTTCCCCGCTTTTGCGGTAACGCCTCTAGCCAGGTCAGGATTCCGCTTCATTTCATTTACCAGGTCTTCGATTTGAATTCGAAGTGATAACAATAATTCGGGTTCAACTTGCTGTCACAATATTAATTAAACATTTTATTCTCATTTTTGTTCGCATAATTAATCATATCGGGGTATTTAAATTACCGGGTTGACAATATTTGATTCTAATGACGCTGTTGATGGCGTTCTAGTAGGAAGTGGTCGAAGTATGGCCGATCGTGTAGTCATGTGGACATAAATAAAGGCTAGACACATAAACGATCGGTCCCATTTGACCGGTGTTGATCGCTGCTAGCGCTGTAAAAGAACAATTGAGTTCCAGCTAAAGTGTCTGTGTTTGAAAATAGTTTAGTGAATAAATTTTTCGAGCATGTGGTTCGTCCTGATATCTGTGGCTATCGTGGCCATTACTCTGTTGATTCGCAGACACTTTACCTACTGGGAGCGTCAAGGTATACCGAGCGACAAGCCGGTTATACCCTTCGGGTCGCTATAAAGGATGTCGGTTCCGCGATTCACGATCTTCACGAACGCTACAAAAAACCTTTCGTTGGAATTGTAAGAGAAAAGAAGGTAGCAAAGATTAATTGAATAAATATTTTTGTATCATACAGTGCCATATTATTAGGAAAAAACCTGAGTAAGTGTAGTCCAGCTTCGTATTAAATAGTAAACATTTCGGTCGAAAAATAATTTAATATAATTCTATTGAAGCTGCTAGATGTAGACGCAAAGTTCATGAAAATAGCTCCGGCTGTAGAATTTCACACATGTGGGGAAATTTTTTGATAGCGATTCTCCTGCCAAAACGATTATTTTGTGTCCGATTCAAGCAGCTCGCTACTTCCGGTGTTTAACCCACGTGGGACCCTCCACGTAAAAAAAAACTCACAAATGAAAAGAAAAACGACGCCAATTCTTTTGACAACGACCACGGCCAACTTTTAAAGGACTACGATTTGAGGGCATATACCGTAGAGAGAGAAGCTGACATCGCCGGCATCGAAGTGGCGGACGGGGAAGGACAAGGAACGCGTAGGGCTATGCGACATCGCCACAGGTGTCACGTAAGGGAGCGCAAATTCGGTGTTGGATTTGTAGTGGAAGAGACTTGGTCGCATCGAGGCGGAATTCTTTAGCATGTCGCTAATCTGCGTCCATTGCCCAACTGAAGAGAAGGAGTGAACGTATAATTTTTGACCTTATGAATTCGTTACATCTGAGGAGTTATGCTTGACATAAAAATAATAATAAAATTGTTCACCTTTTTTCAAACAAGATTCCCCTCTAAAATCACTTGTCCGAACTCTTAGCCAAAAAGACTATGAGGCTGTTCACACTTGCCTGCTTATCAGATTATCTGGTTCAAAAATATTATTGTGTAGTGTATTTTCTTGTTGTAATCTGAATAAAAAATATAACCACATAAGCTGATCACCAGGCAAGTGTGAACAACCTATATGTATTAACGGCAAGGGCTTTCTACACATGAGTAAAGTTTGTTCTCTATAAATGCAGCTTTTAATAAACCCTTGTGATCAGCTGATTCAGTTAAGAGACATTTTGACCAGTTTTTGCTATTTTTCTTTTGTCTATTTAATGTTTATCATTTCTTTATAAAAGTCTAGTACATTACATAACCACATAAATCCACATTTCAAACTTCGTACAAAACTTATATAAATTCAACAAACTTTAAAAGTTACAACCAAAAACTTCAGACCTCTTATTCTGAATTTTTAGAAAAAATTTAGGTACGCAGTTTTTTGGCCCATTAAATTGTAGTAGGTTAAAGTGCAAATTTCAAGATGATGATGCTAATCGCGTTGATCTTTAATAATTTTTTGGTTGACGGTGTTGTGCATTTTCCTTCATACCCAGTAAAATATTAAATATTGATGTTCAACCAGTTTTTCGCCCACCACAACTAATTGAAGCTCTGATTTTCTTCCTTGAAGCGAATTGTTTACTTCGACATGGCGATGTCCTAGGCAGCAGTCAATTATCCGACTCTGCATTTAATTTCAACTACTTTAAAATGCATTTAATTTTGGGAGAAGCTCGGCCAAACACTAACATATGCGTAAGCGCCAATCTATTTTACTATTATTATTAATTTAAAATGCATTTGGCTTAAAGCAATTCAAAGTTAATTTGCTTCTTTTGCAGATGTCTTTTCAACCAATTTAAAATTACTTAGTTTTAAATGCTCAAACAGTTAATTGCCCAAAGTTAGATGATTATTCAACTAACATTGAATTATTTGCAAAGATTTGTATCGAAGGTGTAGGCATTTGGTTTATCTCAAGGAGACTGCTAGGTAATTTGAACTTAGTTGCTACATAAGCAGAAATAAATTACTTTTTCTGAGGTTATTGGTTGAGCCGTACCGGGTATAAAAGTATGCATGCAATACAAAGCATTATATTTAATTGACAATAGGCAAACTACATAACATATTCAGCGAAAGTACAAATTTGAGATCGATTTTAAGCGGTCGTTATTCATATATCCACATACATATGAACATATATTACCCTTCATATCAATTCAGGTGGCTATTATATGCGCCCCACGCTTTTCATTTTCAATCTCATAAATTGGTTATAACGACTTTTGCTAAAATTTCAAAATCAAAAGTTATCAAAACAAATTCTATGGGACTGAGAAATATTATTTTCTACTTTTTAGTCCATTTATAAAAGCGTTGTATATTAAAAAGTTTTTTTTTATATTATTTATTTTTTAAATAAAACATTCGGTTTGCGACTTGGAAATACATATTTTATTATTAAGGGTTTGTATTTATGTTTAACATAACATTATTCTTAACTATGTTTTACATACATACTTATGTATTTACAGGTATTTTTCCTATATGTATATATAAATATGTATGTATATATGCATGTACTTTATGTCTTTCGCATGCAACGAGCGTTCTTGACCAGTTATTTAATTATTTGCATTTATTTATTTTTTTTATTTCACGAAAATAATTACTTAGACAACAAATAAGATATTTTGATAAAAAAGTTCAATAGAAAGGTAAATACTCTTATAAACTATAGTACCTACTATCTCTAAACTATTGCACGTGTAACCAGTTTTGGTTTACTCCGATTTTATGTCTATTCAAATATATGTATTTCAAGTTCAAATAGACGTTGGATGGCCTCAATGACCCGATTGATTCTCTAGATAAATGTAATGTAATTGAAACTTTAAATTAACAGTTGCGACAATGCGCCGGCAATATCAATTGGGTTTTTTTTGTCATCGCTTTGTCATGCACACTTTTTACAAGTTCCCATGCACTCGGCCATTCATCATTTGTATGCAATTTGTGTTATCTTTTGATTTGCATTTTTTGCACGAATGTAATAAAATCGCAATTAAATTTCTTACTGTACTAAATAGTTATATTTGATGTTTTGTTGTTTTTATGTGTTTCATTTTCGAGGTCAAATAACTTAGTTAAGATTATTCGATATAAATACATATGTATGTATGTATATTCACGTGTGTGTATTTAATTAGTTTAGTTGTTTTATTTTTATTTATTTTTTATTTTTATTTTTAAGGCAAAAACAAGAGGGAAAATGTTGCCTTTAAAATTAGACATTCGACTTCACGAACCGAAAACACGCGAAGAGCCCTAAAAAATCCGCATATATTCCGAAAACTAAAGCACCGAGAATCGAGAAAAAATACATAAAAAAAACTGAACGCACAAGTCCGAAAAAATCAAATGGATGTAGGTCAAATGTTTAAAAGACATGAAGAAATCATACTCAACTTCGAAACTGTTGCACAATGAGGGTGTTCACACTTGCCAGGTTATCAGGTTTTCCGGTTAAAAATTATTATAACCACATGACCAGGCAGGTGTGAACAACCTCAATGTATTTTTGATTTTAAATTGCAGAAACCACTTTTGCTTACAATTTCAACCATTAACGAATCGTTTAAGAAACGCTTTGTTGAGGACTTTTGAAAGTTGAATCGCTATACTAATTTATGCGTCTTTCTTCGTCCAAAATAGTGTTGTTATACTAATGGAAATAGAATCTCACTGGACCTTAAATAGTAGAATTCCCTCCTGGGACCTCTTGAGAGCTTGATACGTCCAGCTGGATACCTCGTTTGTACGCCGATGGCTACAACTTGGAAAGATGGGTTTTGAGAACTGGTTTCGACTGACTCGTTGCGACATATTCGCTCTCGCGGCTGGCTCTCGGATTTTTTGGATAGTCTGATCTGAGGCACTTCACAACTAAGTCAAATAAGAATACTTAGCCAATTAGTAAAGCTTTAAATTTACAGTGCGTGGTTTTAATGTTAGGTACAAACATGCACAGATAATCTTCAATGTGAAAGGACAAAAGAAAAAATTCCATCTTTTAGAAAAAGCTCGGTTTTGCACCAAAACAATTACCATTTTTGATTTCACTCCGTCGAGTTGGCCAATGCAAGGCCAAGCCGTCGTTTCTTCTTCAACCTACTGAAATTCATAAATTTTTCAACTTGGATATATATAATTTTTACAATATTTATATTACTTTTCGATAACTAAAATAATTAAATTATATTTATGGCCTATGGCTAATAATAATGTTGGACATTAATCTGCCCATACTTATGCATAATTTACACTTATTTACCAACTTTAATTAAATAACTTCTTCAATTTTCTTCGACACTCCATTCGGTTCTACTTCTACAATTACATATTTATATATTTATCTGCGTGTAAACTTTCAATAGCAGGAAATCATTAAAAACAAATTCAATTCTAGTTATATAATTTTTTAGTTTCTTTGTATGTACATACATATAAAATGGATTTTTGTCTATATCACAGATAAATATGCATATGCAACATACAAAGTCCACGTAACATACAAGCATATATGTATATAAAACTGTGCTCATGTACTTATGTAATATACACACTAGACCGTACCAGGAGTAAAAGCTCACCGTACAGCCCAGAGTCTAAAGTATTTTTGCAAGGCAACTTCGAAAATTTCTTTTATCTTTTCCGTTATATCTTCGGCATTTACAGTCGGATTTTAAAGTATGATATATCGATGTTCTTGCCTCAATGAGGAAAATTGTTTTATTCCACAGTTCATTGACCTCAAGTACCCCGTTCTAGTGCCTACCCACCAGATCTCACTTCTTACCCCCTTAAAGAGGCGGTAAATTAAAGCTTACCAAAAATCATTAAACTTTTGCTAAGAAAGTATTCAGATTATTCCTATTTTTAAAAAAAAAGTTGTATTGCCAAATTTTTTTTCACCTTGTTTGGTCGAATTTTGTCCTATCCAAATTACCTTGAAAAAATACTTTGGACTCAGGGATGTATGGTGAACTTTGTTTGTTAGGTTGTAAGGTGGTACGGTCTAATGTACATACATACATACCTACACGTGCATGTAAATATATAATTTTTTCTTCTTTTATTTGGCTTGCAGGCGCATAGAAATAAATGTTCGTATTTACAAACGATACAAATAATTTATTCAGTTTAGCTACTTATGTACATACATATTTACCTATGCACATTTAATCGATTTCATTCAGGACCGTAAGGGTTATGTTCTTTAAAATATATATATATATAATTTAGCCTTGAAACTTGGAATTTTATTTTTTCGGCAAAAATTCATTTGTTAGATTATAGGGGATTCAAAACGGTCATAAGAATAGATTATAAAGGATGGCCGATGAAAAATATTAAATTTTATCATAACTACATATTGAAAATGATCGAAAAAATAAGAATCCAAATAAAAGAGCATTAATGTTATTCACTTAAATTCACAAAATAACAATCAAATTTATTCTAAACAAAAAAAAATGACTCAATATGAGGGTTTTTTGGCCCCTGCTTTTAATTTTTGTCATGTGGATTTTTTCTGCAATATTCTTCCTCTAAACCGCGTGCCGATTTAGGCCCAGCTGGCTCATATTTAGTAATACAAAATGTCGATTATTTAAATGTAACTTAATGACTAAGCTGACGAATTGACGTCGTTACATTTCGCTTAAAAAATCTACTAAACAGCATACATCGTACATCCCTACACACTTAGACGTATATAATTATGGCTACTACATTGCACCCTTCACCCCCCTACAACTACATACTTCCCTCTCCCACCGCCTTTAGCGATGCTTCACCGACGGCGCAAACGCTTGCATGCTGTAGTACCGATCGGTGTCGTCCTTCGTAACACTCGTCACGTGCTGGAATTGACATGGCTGCGAAATTTGCGATTTGGGCGGCAACGGAGCTGGCTTCACGCGCTTCTGTTTCTGCTTCTTCTTGCCCGGCAGCGAGAGCGCTATATTCTCCGGATTACTCACCAGTTTCTCTATGTGGTGGTGCAGCTCTCTTGCCGAATCGGTTGAATCGAAACTAAATCCGATTAGCTGTTGGTGGTTCTGTGACAGGCACATCGTGTGAAAGGATGGACCGGCGACCCGATAATTTGACAGATTATCGATGCGATCCGACCAGAGTGCAAAGGAGGAGCCACGTTCGGCCAGCACAAGTGTGACGCGCGGTATGGAGCGTGCGCGAGCACTGCCGCGATCATGCAGCACGACTGGTATGCCGGTGAAGACGAGACGCCAATCTCCCTCCTTGCCGGTGCCTTCGTAGAGGTTGGCCAGAGAGGAGCATACGAAAATTTCAGTGCCCAGGCCGCCGAAGAAACTCTCCATTTGAACGCGTTCATATTCGGAGAGATTTGAATTGCTCGTAGTATCGATGCTCAGTGTGTCGGCATCCACGTCGGAGCCAATAAAATACGAATTGCTGTGATTGTTAACTGTATTGGTGGTCGATGTGGCGGTGCGCGTGTTTGTGTGTACCGACGAGGTGTGTGAATGCGCCGCCGACCAATCGGGATTAATCATCAGCTCATTCTGCTCGGAAGAGTTAGTGCCCTCCGAGGATTCGGATGGTGGCGCCGAATCGCCAACGGAGCCTAAGCGACGACGTTGCATGTGGGGGAGCTGGAAAGGAGCAAAGAAGAAGAATATGAGCATTATTATATTAAAGCTAAATGGTAATTGAAAAAAAAAAACAAATTGAGTTTATTTAAATTAATCGAAGTTTTTGTAGAAATTTTAATACATTGAAATTGTATGTATTATCCTTATAGCTACATAAGACGTCTACAGCGAGGAAGGAAACCACTTGTCTGACGTCAACTCTTCTCATGGAGGCATACAGCTTCTAGAAAGGAATTACAAGATAGTTGACAGAGCCCACTTGTACGACGTTCCGAGAAATCAGAACACTATTCGGCCACAGCTTAAAGCGAGGGCGTGCTAGTAGAATGAGCCTGCCGGTCAATGACTTCTGCCGCAGTTACCATAGTGAGGATGAAATTAAAAGCATAGAGCTGCATATGTCTCCGACACCGCGCTGACCTAGTCTGGGCTAGAACAGAATTATTTCCCCATTACAAAGTGTTTGAACTATTGGCGGTCTTCATTGCAGCAGGCACTCATGAACTCTCTCGTTTTTTACCGACTTCAAAAAAGGAGGAAGGTTATCAATTCATCGGAATATTTTTGCATATATTTTGCTACCGGATAACTTTAGACCACGTGAACCGTTTTCGACAATTCGTTTTTCATCGGAAAGGTGGTACCTTAGGGGTGGAACAGTAATTTGGTTTAGTTCCAATCATTGGATCATGACGAAATTAACGGTACTCCTAAATTTTTATATGGGCATTGAAGTCGGTTGTATTTTTTGCCTAAAAATTACTTGTATTAATACGAGCACTTATGGTTCTATTTCTAAATAAGCTAAGTTGAGTTGTGAACCATAATAGGAGCCTTAATTGCACTTTCATAACTAACTCCAATGACCGTATCAGCCTTGTATGCCTTTTGATATTTATAGTCTGTACCTTGTAATTAGCAGGGGATCCCCCCTTGCTGCCCGTCTGCAGAGGATAAAGTTTATATCTTGATATTTTAGAATATAAATAGCCTGTGTAGATTGCTCATTGCTCTTCAAGAGCAATATACTATATCACAGCTTATATCTTGCCATCTATTGCCGGCAATTTGAAAGTTTGACGAATACATTTTCGCTATAAAAGCAAAAATTTAGCTTTTTTTATTAAAATATTTGTTATTATGTACTTGGATGTAAAATAGCCTATTTTCTAAATTTGTCAAGGGATTAAATCCGGCAAAAATACGTTTTAGAAGTCATCTTACAAATGCTTATATTAAGATATAAAAAGCCCACACAAATATTGGCACTGATATAACTTATGTATTCTGTATTTATGTATTATTCTGAGATTTAAACAACTAAAGCAAGATAAAATATGGGATTTTTTTATTTTTATGAATTTTTATTTTTTTTTCATGTTGCATGGTGAGCGCGTTGAGCTGAAAATTGTGCAATCAATTTCCGCTCTAAAAAATTCAATAGTTATGAACCACTTACGTAGTAGTTACGTATGTATATACAAATGTACATATTGCACATTGAACTTCTATGTTTGTATAACTTTTGATTGGAATCGAACGAAAAAAATTAAAATTACCTACAAACAAATGCCTGTAAATAGACGCAGTAGTGATGCAAACTCAACACCAAGTAATATGTAAATCAGCAGACAAATTAAAGTTAAGCCTTATGGATATAAAAATAATATTTAATCAGCGATTCAAATGAAAAATTACGAAAAATATATATATTTTTTTTGTATAAAATCCTAGACTGCATAGTATTTATAGTCCTTTGTAACCAAAGTGTTACGTTCCCTAATGAAATTGCACGTCTTGCACGTCGAAAATTGCATACTTTTAAATTAGATGTGTAATCCATACTCTCAATTATGCGCTGCATTGCAAAGCTGAAAGTTCGCATTGTGAAATTTTTATTTTTCCATTTCTGCTCTAAATTGTCTGATATCGTTTGCAAGGCCTTCCCCCCTTTACCGAGAAATGAAACTTGGATGTGTAAATTTGTTTCCCTTTTGCTTAACTTCGATGTCACTTGCATGAGTGCACCCAAAATATTTGCACAATTTCTTGTAAAATACAATTTCCGCACACATTTTGAAAAGGAAACCTTAAAATTTAGAAAATGTGCTCGTTTACATATTAATCTCGGGGAACATTTTGAGGATTTGTGGTGGGATGAATATGAATAAAGGGAAATTCACTTAATCTAAGCACTTACTTAGAAAGAAAAGAGTTTGTATGTACGTGGACATTACAATTCCGATTAAAAAAACAAATTCAAAATTTAGCTCGAGCTGATTTTTTTTTTAATTTTACTCACATATCGCACAGGTTTTTCAAAAGGGTATCAACTCAAAATTTAACATTTTCGGCTTTGAATTTCAGTATAACAATGTAGCTAAGAGCCGTCTAAGGAAATTCGCTTAAGCTAAAACTTTTTAGCATCTTTGAGAAATTTGCCAAAAATTAACGGTAAGTTCCAGCTACTTCATACTGGCACTTTTTAATACTAAAATTAAATGAACTACAAAACTGCATACCAAAAATAAATTCCAAATTTTTAATAAAGTTTGTTGATATTTTAAATATTGTGCAAAGATTGAAAAGAAATAACCATATTTTTATTAAAAAAAATGACAATTCAATTTAAAAAAATAATAAAATAAATAGTAAAACTTGTCAATATGTGGGTGTCGTATAGTTATGATAAATAGTTGGGGTACTCACAGCGGTGTCGTCAGGGTCGTATTGTTATACATATGTCGTAAACTTTAAAAGCTCAAATAAATGTTTAGTGAACTTTAAACCACAACCCACTATTTTTAACACTGTGAAAATTAATAATATGTCTATATTTTCTGAAATATGCACATTTTAATAGATAGAATGTATATACGTTCATAAGTATTAGCCCCTTGGGCATACATATATATGAGGTTTTGTTTAGAACACTAGATAATACATATCATTAAATTACTGGGAATCCGCATTGGGCTCTTCTGGAACACAAATCCTTCTTTGTTTTTTAACTTAATTTTAGATATATTTTTCCTTCTTGCAAAAGCACAGACTTGCAAACTTTATTTCATCACATTGACAAATGAATAAATATGCAGAAAATTTGCACACTGGAAATAAATAAAAGTGCCCGGTATGTATGTATAACAAAAGTTGTTTGGATAATAAAATTTTAATTTTTTACAGCTACGGTGTTCGTATTTGTTTTCTGTACTCTACATACATACATTCTTATGCAATTTCAGTTGATTTCTCTATAAAAATATTTATTTACTGCTATTTTATATTTTGTACGGGGCACATTGGGCCAATACCTTCCAACCAAACTCACACCAATCAAAACTGGAAGCAAATTTCATCAATAAGATATAAAAGTTTCCTCACACTAGGAATAGATAGGTAAATGTGTATGTGGAATAAAAAGCAACAGAAACCAATGCCGTTGACGTGACGATGTTAAATAATTCATAATCGTAGCAAATTACAGACATACATAGAAGGCAATGACAAATGGTTTACTAAAGCAATTGAAGCCAAAAAAAAACAAACATACATACATACATACATACGTCTGTTTATGTGAGCACAATTAATGTAGACAAGGTACATATTTACATTTACTGGCGTAACTCGAAATTTTGTATGGGGGTATACTGGTCGTATACAATAAATTAGAACTTAGGTCACATTGAAATTACCAAGAAATTACCCTGTTTGGGGCAACACTGTAACCTTACCAATATAGCCTCACCTAGGCTCATTAAATGAAATGATTTTAAAAGTGAAGAACTAATTACACTGTATAACAGAATTTTTGCAAAAAAATAACCATGCGATACTAATTTTTTTTTTTTTTTGAAAACGAGAGGATATGCAGATAATTTTCGCCGAACAAAGTCATTCTCCAGCACTGTTCCGAGCTTTGAAATTTGAGAAAAGGGACCTGCACTTCGACCCACCACAACCCATTCTTCCCCATCGTTTTAAAGATTATCGTTCGTCGAATACTCGGTAAAATTTTAAAAATGTCCCTCAATTTACACAAGAAATTAATAAAAACAAACACCCGTCGAAAATTTCTCTCATGCAATTTATTTTCATATTACATGCAAAATTCGCAAAAGCTCCTACTTGCGTAGCGCGAGATCTAACAAGGTTTTGGTGTGCGCACACACCGGTTGAAATGTAACTGAGATGAGTTCAACGTAAACATCATAAAGCAAGACGAAGACGTCCCATCGAAATTACAAGGAGAGAACACGGCGTTCGATAGTTCGAGAAAGATAATAAAGCTGCTTATAAAAATACCGTTAAAAGCCAAAACGCACCAAAACTAAAGTTTCAAACTTTTTAAAACGTATAGAAAAATGCAAAAAAAATCAACGTTTTTAATCTGAATTTTTAAAAAATTGTTGGGTATGCCTATAAAATTCTTGCATAATAAAGTGCAAGATTGAGGTGGCTAAATATTTTTTTGCAGACGGCATGAATTTACTTTGGATAAAATGCGCAATACCGTTCGCAAAAAAATACAAAAATCAACGCCAGTTTTATATTTTGCACTTGTTATATGAAAATAAAAAGCCGGCGGCAAGAAAATATTAAAAATCAACGCGAATGCTTCAAACATGTTTTTTGTTATGCAAAATTGTATGAGCTATAAAACTACAAACCCTAAAGTTTACTAAAAATGCAGATTAAAGAGTTCGAAAATTTGATGCAAATAAGTGGAAGGTTGGTTTCCAAAACTATATCATTGGCATTCTGTTTAAAACAAAGTGTATTTGTTGACTGTGTTTCTGATTTGTTGCTAAACTTGAGTGGTTTTTTCAAACTCAAAATCTTCCGTACATCCGTGAAGACGCAGCGAGTTTTTTCAGATTGTTTTGTTAAGTTTCATAAGCCAAAAACACTTTCAGTTTTATGTACAGAAAAGCTCGTTTGGTTCAATGAAATTCTTCATGGAATGTCTGGCCCCCATTGCCCGCCAAGAGC